TCCCTCTAAATGATTAAAACTGATCTGTGGCTTGAAAAATGTTTAGAAAGCAACTCAGACCCATTTATACCAAAGTGCGCCTTTTACAGCTATGCATTAGTAGGGAATCTGAATCAGGGGCCCTCTAGGTGCAGGACTACAGCTCCCATCCCTGATTTTGGTCATGCTGGCTGGGGCAGATAAAAGGAAGAGTTCAAGAACAGCTCTCTGCTCCAGACCTATAAGGTACTTGCTGTAACTGTTAGATACTGATATCTGTAGCACTAGTAACAAGGCTTCACAATTGTTATTCAGGAGATTGGTACTAACTTTTGTAGCCTAAAAGGGGTAAAGCAAGAGCTAGATCTAAGGTTTTAACGGGTCATCACAGATAATGAACATAGTCCAAAATGGCAATAATTTCCAAATGAGACAGGCACAGCAACGCACATTAGACAAAGCCAATACCAAATGACATCACACTTAAGACAGTGTGAGGAGCCCACCATCGTAATTTGTAAGGCATAATTTATGGCTTAGTGATACGTGAGAACACAGCCACTGCATACGATTCAGTAAACCTTGGTTGGAACAAATCATTCTATATTACAACGTATGGATCCAAGCTCTTTCAGAAAAACATGGAGCAACCCCAACACTGCCAAAATGTTGAGGCAAAGTGGAGATATCTGTAGGAATTCTGAGAAATGCAGGACATATTAAAGCAATGTTTCTCAACCTTCACAACTTCAAGATGTGTAGGCTTCAAGTCCCAGAAGTCCCCAGCCAGAATTCTGGAAGTTGAACTTCACACATCTTAAAGTTACTGAGGCTGAGAAACACTGTATCAGAGTATTGAAAGTCTGTATCCAGCTACACAGAGCCAAATTATGCTGCCCTTGCAGGTATCCCTTTAATTTACATTCCGAAGCAGCGTTTCCACTATTTTGTATAGTTTGAAAAGTGAAGTGGAGGTGGTTTTGGTATTTTGCAAGTTTTAAGATAGGCTGGTTGCTGATTAGACAAGAATGCAAATTTTCTCTGTATTTATGTTGCTTGTGATGGCAACCATTTTTATAGATACTGACTGCAAATAGCACAATCCCATTGTGCTAAGTAAAAATAAATAGGGTCAAAATTGAGGTTGACTCTAGATGAATTCATGTCAGTGATGTTGCTTTCTGGGTGAAAATAAGCTAGTGAGCGCTTTAAATGGACAGCAGGAAATAGATGCTTTTATTTTTTAATAATGTTTGTTAAAAAAGATTTTACAAAGATTTTAAAAACTACAGAAACATAAAAGAAGAAGTAGAAAAAGAACAAAATTATATAAGGGTAAAAGAAAAAGTGAAGGAGAACAAAAAAGAAAGAAAAAGATATCTAAAGAAGCAACTTCTGATCTTCTTTGCAGCAGTTACAAACATAGCAATTACCATCTCTACCCTCCCATATTGCATATCATGGTTCCCTTCTTCCCTGAGACAATCAGTAAATCCCAAAATCACCTCATTTTTATCCATTTTCAGCAAAAAGTCCATAAAGGGTTTCCAGTCTTTTATAAAAATAGTGTAGTTCCCTCCTTCATCAAACAGGTCAATTTAGCCATTTCTGCAGACTCAGCCATCTTCACAGTCCATTCCTCTATTATTGGTGTTTTTGTAGTCTTCCGCCTTTAGGAAATAGATGCTTTTAAATAAAATACATATTATAGTTTTATCAAACAGGAAGAGATCTATATTTTACATTATATTTTGTTTAAAGGACAAAAGGCAATTTGAAGGCTTGTGTTTACCCCTCATTTTCTATAACATCACAAGTGAACAAATATATCACATGGTTGAAAGCTGCCAGAATAACAAGAACAAGAACAAGAACAA